GCTGTAACCCGCCATGGCGAACGGTCTCGACCACGATCGCGAAACGACACATGCGAACTGCGCACGGTATTACCATCGAGGAGGAAGAACGACCAGCCAAGAAGGCGCTGCAGCAGTCCCTGGAAGTGGCATTTATGCACGCAGAGCAGAAGAGCCGGGAGATTGCGACTCGCAGCGAAGAATCGATACTAAGGAATACGATCCAGCTGGATGCATTCTACGAGGCACAGATCCAACTGATTACGCGGCGCCGCCTGCCACTGAATTGTGTCTCTGGGCCAGAGTACCAAGCACTACTCTGCGCTGTCAATCCGAAAGCCGAAGAAGTCCTTGTCCAATCTGGCACCACTGTATTTGCTCATATAGAGAGGTCATATCTCCTGCACCGCGAGGCCATCAAGTCTCAGTTGCAGGCAGCCAAGTCGAAAATCCACTTTAGCATTGATCTATGGTCGTCGCCGCATCGGAAGGCCTTTCTCGGAATCTGTGGCCAATGGGTCGATGAACACTATAACCTCCGCGAAGCACTTTTAGGCCTGCCGAACGTAAGGCACAGCCACTCGGGCGAGACGATGTCTGGACACCTGCTGGACACAATACGATACTTTGGTATTGCAGATAACGTTGGCTACTTTACCATAAGCATTTTCTCTATACCAGCGATGTCGGCGGAGGCCGAGAGAGTGTTCAGTGGGGCAAGGCGTACTGTTTCCTAGGATACAACCCGGATGTCTCCGAAGATGCTAGATTAGTAACGGACTTCTTAATTGGCCATTTTCACGTTCAGACCCGTTTAGTATTAAGCTAGATACTGATGGCAGTGGATGCTTCCTAGACTCCTAGAGCAGGTGCACTAGGCACAGCAGGATGATGCTAGGACTGTCAATTACGTAATGAATCATTGAATCATTAATTAATCCTCAAGTCCAAGTGCTAATTCAGTAATTAATCTGAATCCAGCCCAGGATACAGATTAATTGATTGATTACATGTCTGCATGATGTTTTGCACCATTTTCGGTTGTAGCCTTATGTTCTTTGTTTCTCATTGCCTTTTTTTCTTTCCCGGTATCCTCAGTATTTAGTATTTGCCAGCATGATTCAAGACAGATGGGCAGAGTGACTGCACACAGGGCGCTGGTATGACTGTGATGCATTTGAATATCAGCAAAGCCGTGCACAAACTGATGCAAAAGGAGCTAGCAGAATGCGGCTTGTGATGCCGACGAATCGGCCGTGGACGCGAGGAAATCGGGCCCAGCATGTTGATGGCGGCCCATCGCAAGCCACTTCCCCACAAATTTTAAATGTATTGAAAAACTTGGTGGTGAAATATTACAGTTGAATCAACCGTTGGTGGCGCATCTTAAGTTCCAGCCACCGCGTTCTTGTCGCCAAGACTAACTTGGGCCACACTGCGACAAACGGTTGGCGAGAACGCCGCACTAGAAATTCTTGAGGACGACGAACCGAAAGCCTGGCGATTGAATTAAAATTTCAAAGACTTTCTGCAAGCGGCAGAGGTGCGAGACAGATGTTAGCGCAAGCTTTAACAAGGAAGAGCCAGAAATTTTATTGGCAGGTAAGGTTTATCCCGACGGTTTACATACCCAACGGCGTGCAATCATGGGATTGAGTTCATGGGGACAACCTGCATGGCTTATTTGGTAACATAAAAAAAAGAATGAAAACCTCGTACTCGGTAGAAGCTGATCCGCGGCATTAATCTTTCCATCTCGCCGAGATCCGCAAATCGAGCTGCATCGCCAAGTAAGGTAGCTAGCCCTATGACTCAAGTGGGCCTGCATTGCCCAATTCCAGTCACAATACAAGAAGAAATTTGCACAAAGAGATCAACAGATTGATAGAATAACGTGACGCCTTGAATTCTCTTATTTTAATTACCTTGCTGGCTGGAGAACCGTCTTCTTTTTATAGTTGAGAATCCCTCGATAAATCCATTCGCAAGTAAGATTTCTTTAGTACTTCAACCAGCGATCCATCGCATTTAGCTAGATCACTCGCACGTGCATGAATGCATGAATCAACTTGTCACACACCGCTCGAAAATTTCGACATAAAATAAGAAGTCTGCGCTTGCCGTCCTCATTCCTCCATGCCTCCCATGCCGCAAACTTTTCTCGCCATTGCAGTCTAACTTCCGGTCAGTCATCCATTTAAGGACGCTGTGAAAGTAACAGGACGTCCTCGGTTCTCAAGGATAAGAGACAATGGTTGCTGTGATCTCGCTTTGCGCTGTGACGGTGCAGGTCATCGCCGTTGCCGCTTCCGGTGATGTTATCACCAACGACACGTATTTTTACGGCCAATCGCCGCCGGTGTATCCTTCCCGTGAGTTTCTCTACAAATACTTGGACGCAAGGGAAGAGACGGACGAGTCGAGGACTAATTCGGTCATGGATAGCGGAAATGTCTGCCACGGGCCCCTGGGCAGACGCTTACGCCAAAGCCAAGGACCTCGTGTCCCAGATGACGCTGGCAGAAAAGGTCAGCCTCACCGGCGCCTCCAAGGATATTCACAATGGCTGCACGGACAACATTGCCAACATTTCCCGGCTCGGCTTCCCAGGCATGTGCCTGGGCGATGCTGGCCAAGGGCTGCGCGCGACCGACTTTGTGAGCTCGTTTCCTAGTGGCATACACGTCGGAGCAAGGTGCGTCTTACCCCTTTGCACATTTATAGTCTTGTTGTTCTGTTTCCCGATCGAAAGGACAGGAGCTAATTCCAGGTCAACAGCTGGAACAAGGAATTGGCGGCCCGCAGAGGCGCCGCCATGGCCGACGAGTTCAGGAAAAAGGGCGTCAACGTCTTGCTGGGCCCCGTCGTCGGGCCGGCCTGGCGCGTAACGCTGAGTGGCCGCAATTGGGAGGGCTTCGCGGCGGATCCGTACTTGTCGGGTTCGTTGGCGGCGGAAAGCATCGTCGGCATCCAGGGCCAAGGTGTCATTGCCAGCACAAAGGTGAGCAAGTCACATCCGGCGTAAAATGACCTCTTTTCTGACGAATTCGGCCTCTAGCATTTTATTGGGAATGAGCAAGAGACGAACAGAAATCCCCGTCCAGACACTGAGTCTCTATCGTCCAACATTGACGACAAGACAATGCACGAGCTATATCTGTGGTATGCTAGTACGACAAGTGGTTGATGACTGTTGCTGATGTGTTCGCAGGCCCTTTCAAGATGCCGTACACGCCGGGTCCGGCAACATCATGTGCTCGTACCAGCGCATCAACAATTCGCACAGCTGCGCCAACAGCAAGACTTTGAACGGCCTGCTGAAGACGGAGCTGGGCTTCCAGGGCTTTGTCGTGTCTGACTGGGCCGCCCAGCACACTGGTTACGCCGGTGCTCTGGCGGGCATGGACATGGCCATGCCCGACCCTGAGGCCTATTGGGGCGGTAAGCTCGTTGAGTCTGTCAAGAATGGCTCGGTACCCGAGTCGAGAGTCAACGACATGGCCACCAGGTAGACGCCTCAAACAGCCTCGGCTTTTTTGTTTTATGCTGACTCGTTGTGCAGAATTCTCACCGCTTGGTACCAGTTCAAGCAGGACAAGGAAATCCGGAATCCAGGGGTTGGTATGCCAAAAGATGTCACGAAACCGCACGAGATTGTCGACGCTCGCGATCCAGCAGCGAAGCCTGTGCTTCTCGACGGTGCCGTCCAAGGACACGTTTTGGTGAAAAATACAAAGAACACGCTTCCACTCGCGAAGCCACGACTCATTTCCATCTTTGGCTACTCGGCCAAGACGCCCGACTTCTTCGCCCCGGGCAGCGGTGACGGGCTCTCGCAGTGGCAGCACGGCTACGAGCCGATTGGCCCCAGCTGAGCAGCCATTGGCGGCGATCTGGGCGACCCCAAGGACGCATCGACCATTGGCATCAACGGCACGCTATTTTGCGGCTGCGGCTCCGGCGCCACCACCCCGGCCAACCCCATCTCGCCCTTTGAGGCGCTCAAGATGCGCTCGCACGCCGACGGCACGGCGCTGTTCAACGACTTTGTCTCGCCGCTGCCAGTCGTGGACCCGGCCTCGGACGTGTGCATTGTCTTTGGCAACGCCTTTTCCTGCGAGACCTATGACCGCCTCGCGCTGCAGGACAAGTACACCGACGACCTGATCAAGAGCGTCGCGGACAGCTGCAACAAAACCATTGTCGTCCTGCACAACGCGGGCCCGCGCGTCGTCGACGCCTTTATCGAGCACGACAACGTGACCGCCGTGCTCTTTGCGCACCTCCCCGGGCAGGAGTCGGGCCCCGCGCTCGTCTCTCTGCTCTACGGCGAGTCCAACCCCTCGGGCAAGCTCCCCTACACGCTCGCCCGCAACGAGACCGACTATCCCGTGCTCAGGCCCAGCGCGCCCGAGGGGCGTTTTGTCCACTTTCCGCAGTCTGACTTTGCCGAGGGCGTGTACATTGACTATCGCCACTTTGACAAGGCCAACACGACGACGACGACACCGCGCTTCGAGTTTGGCTTTGGCCTAAGCTACACGACGTTTGCCCTGTCCAACGCCACGGTCCGGCGCGTCGACGGCGCGAACCTCGACGACGCGTATCCCACGCGCGCCGTCATCCCCGGCGGCCCCGCGGACCTCTGGGACAATGTTGTGTCCGTGACGGCGGACGTGCGCAACACGGGCGCCGAGCGGGCCGGCGCCGAGGTGGTGCAGCTGTACGTGGGCATCCCGGGCGCGCCGCGACGGCAGCTGCGCGGCTACGACAGGGTGAGTCTGCGGCCGGGCGAGACGCGGACGGCGACGTTTGCCCTGACCCGGAGGGACCTGAGCGTGTGGAACGTCGAGGCGCAGCAGTGGCAGCTCCAGCGGGGCACGTATACTATCGAGGTCGGCACGAGCAGCAGGGACTTGCCGCTGAAGCTGTCTCTGGAGATTTAGGGAAGCTTTGGTGGTAGTTAGTGTTGTATTGTATACTAGTATACTGTAAGACACGAGATGGGCACGACTGTAATGATGGATGGGCATCTTTACATGAAAACTGATGGATAAATCGAGCCTCTGACGCTGCCTCTAGTGCTGCCTCTAGCGCTGCCTCTAGCGCTGCCTCTGACGCTGCCTCTGGCTAAAGCTCCTTAATCGGCGGTGGTAGTGATAGTTATAGAATAATAATTAGTATAGGTATAATAAAATAACTTTTTTTATCTTTATCATTCTTTGAAAGATATAAAGAATATAATATTAACTTAAATTTTTTGATAATAATTATTAAGATCTTAATCTTTATTTTTAATAATAATATTTAGCTAAGTGTAACGATGGCTTAATCCTAATCCACCGTTGGTCTGTTTCTTAGGTAGTGAGTCAGGTTGAAACGCTACAAAGTAGCAATGAGCAGTATCTTCGGCGTAAGGTCTCGTTAAGAGTAGGACTCTCAATAGTGAAACTATTGCTTAGATTGATCAGTAGAGATCTAGACTACCTAGCTGTGGGAATACCTCCTCCTTAAGTACCCGTCTATCTCTCTACTGTAGGCCAGGCTCATGAGGCTCATCTAACTATCTCAATGATCTTGTGTAGCTGGCTCATCTCAATGATCCAATGAGCCATCACGTGACCTCATGTCCCAGCCAAGCTTGCGGGCGTGCCTACCCTGGCGGTCCGGCTTGGCCCCGCATCCATGCAGCAGCGTTCGTAACACTAAGGTATTTAATTATTTCCTAATTCCTAAAATTAAGATAAATAATAACCTTTTTATTTTAAATCTACTAGCTAACATTATTTTTATTTAAGTTATTTCTATATATAAAGAAGTTAAAAAAGATATATTTTTTATTGTAAAACTTTTATAAAACTTTATAATTTTAGTTACTTTTATTTAAGTTAATCTAATTTCTTAATTAAATTATTAATATTCTTTATAACTTAAGAGAATTTAATCTTTTACCTAGTTAAATAAGGTTATTATTTACTTTTTATATATATACTTATATTATTAAAAATAAATAAACTTGATACTATTTAGCTTATTAGTTTAATTTTAATTAATATAATAATAAATATATTTAATTAGAATTACTTATATAATATAAAAATATTATCATTATGTTTAATAACTAAAAAGATATATTAACTTAAATATAAATATTATATTTAGATATTTATAAGTTAACTAATAATAAAATATATTACTTTTACATAGCTTTTTATATATTTTTTAAAAATAAGGAAAAGTTATTAAGCTCATTATAAGCTCTTAAATAAGAAGGTATATTTATTATTTATTAAGAAGATAATAATAATAATATATTATATAATAAATTATTAGTTAATATCTTTTGTTGAAATTATCTCTCTTTTCCTTAATAAAGATTAATATTAATTACTTTATATTATATTTTAAGTAAAATTTGAACCTTAAGAACTTAATAAAGATAATATTATAATTTTTCCCTAAACTTTTATAAAGTCTAATACCTTAATTACTATTTATAATAATAAAATAATTATATTTTAATATTAAAAAGGAGCTATTACTAGTAAATATTATTAAAATACTAAATTAGTTATATAATAAGGTAAGTAATAGACCTTAAAAGATATATATATTTTATATTAAAAAAAAGTAAATCTAAAAATCTCTTAAGAAAAGAAAATAAATATATTAATATAATTAATATATTACCTCTTTATTAACTATAATATTATTTTATCTAAATATATAATATTTATAATAGCTTTTTAAAGATAAAGCTTTTTTATAATATTATATAAAAATAAAGGTTATTACTATTATTCTATTTTTAATATATATTAATAAAAAATAAGTATTTACCTATAAATAACTTTTTTAATTATACCTTAAATTAAATATAATTTATATTAAATATTTAATTCGTTAATTTTTTTATTAATATATATAAAGTACTAGTTAATTATTTTATAAATACAGCTTAATTACTATAAATATAATAATTTAATAATAAAATAATAACTTATAACCTAAAATACTAACTAGCTAAATAATTTTTAATATCTATTATAGTTATAATCTACGTAATATATAAAAAAGAAATATATTATAAAAATTATTATAAAAAGTACTATCTTTAAGTACTAGACTCTTAATTATTTAAGTTATAGATTTAGTAGTATTTATTTGAAGGTATAGTAATATAGGTTTAGTAGTAGGGTATAGTGGCCTAATTATATTTTTAGCCTTTTAGTTTTTTAAAATTTAAAACTAAAGAGTAATAATATAAAAGTAGATATTAATGGTGCACCGTACGCTTTGCCCAATCTGCACTAGTAAAAACCAAAGAGGCAACAACTACTCAACGCGCAGCTCGCTCACGACTGGTGTGGCCAGAGGAGCTTGCCGTTTTTTTGCCGGCATTTGCCGCCCTCGGGGTCCCAGGCAAAGCCACTACAAACTCTACAGACAGCCCAGCCCATGTCAAGCTCTGCTTCCGTCTGCCCACCTCCACAGGGGAAAGAGCCAGTCGAGTCGTTGCACTGCCCTGATGGCGTCGGGCCCCTCTCTGTTATAGCCGTAAGAGATGGCCATACAAGCGCCCCCTTGATATCTCTGCATTTTCCGCCCTCCGGGTCCCAGAAGCTTCCGCAGCTTCCGCAGACGGCACGTCCTATATCCAGCTGTACCTCCGTCTGCCCGCCTCCACATGGTATAGGTCCAGTCGTGTCGAAGCACTGCCGCGGCGGCTCTGCTGGTGTTTCCGGGGCCTCTTCCACTTCTTCAACTACTGTCCCCGGCGGACAGTTGATTCGGATCAATTCTTTCCGATACTCCGGGTTGGGATGAATGTCAGGTCGCTGGACAGTTTCGCAATGGCCATACTTTCCAGGATTGATCGGATAGACCATGGGGGTTCCCTTCCCAAAATGTTCATCCTGGAAGCGAGTAATAGAGTCGATAATCTCTTGAATTTTCTCAGGTGCGCCGGGAATAGCCTCAACGAGTCGCTGGACTCCTAACCCGATCGCATACCCCCCTGCTAGCCCCCCATATGTATTGACTAGCGTGCCTCCAACCGAAGGAATTTTGCCGCCGATCGGCAGCTTGCCCGAGCCCGGCACGCACAAATCGCGCTTCCGGCAGTCTGGTGACGAGTTCTTCGGCCACACTGTGCCAGGCTTCTTTCTTGGCCCCTTGAGCGTGTCCTCCCTCCAGTCAGAACTGCCAGGCTTGGGCTTGAAGAGCTCTGGAAGACCCCCTATCATGTGCTTATAAGGCGGTCTAGGACTCTTGGGAGGGTTGCTTTGCAGCTGTCCGGGGCCACCCCATTTACCAATGCCGGCGATTGCTTGATCAAGAATTTGTTGGCCTGGAGGCGTCTCCCTATAAGGAGGAGACTGCGCGCAGGCTAGCCCGATAATGGTGATATAGATAATAGCAATCTTCATCTTGCGTATAGTAAACAGTTGTACTTGAATATCTGAAAGGCGTTGTTGGAAGATTCGGGACTTGTAGATGTAGAATTCGGCAGAGGCAACCGGCCGAATTTGTAGTTTATTTTTAGTGGTCTAGGCTTAACACGTCCTCACGTTGAAGCGCAATCTACTTAGATGGCGAAAGCAGCTTTCGTATTTCAACTCCGTAGCTAGAGAGTTTGCCTAATTTCAGTTGTGTCTCCAATAGTGTGAAACAATATATTACTAACCTGCTTCTTCTGACATCATAGGGCATGAAAAAGAAAATTTTCTTGTAGATGGAGACCACGTTGCTGAGAATCATTTCAATGCTAGGCATCGTGTACGTGCCAGAGTAGGATGTGTGCGCGATGTAGTGATGTACTATCTCGTCTTATCTCATCCACTGTGCATAAACAAGTTCTTGTACGAAGGACGAGTGGTCATGCCCATAAAGTCATGCGTTGTACTGACCAACACATGTGGCGATCATTGGAAAACTCTAAATTCAAAATGGCGAACCCTAAATGTACTAGTCGATAGCTGAAAAGAGAAACTCGCAGAACTGAAAAAAAAAAAAAAAAGCATATGCTCGTAAAGCGTGTACACAGCCCCTCTTGTGGTACCTTTCTCGAGCTGAAAATGACTCGCTTGCCGCAATTCTTAGTTGAGGCTTGACACTGTCTGTGTTTGACGCTAGGGCTAGTTGCCGCCATAGGCGGAACTTCTTTGCCGAACATTGAGTCAATCTTTATGCTGAGATTTGTATGGACCTCGCCTCCAATTCAACAGCATGTATGCGCCGTGTATCTTTCAGCTGAAATTCATCAGCCTGTCACGCTCAGTATGTCGATGGCTTTAACCTTGCTTTACCTTCTATGCTAAGCCAAAGCTCCAAGTCGTGGCGCGCACCGCAGACTGTACCGGCTTGCATTCTTGTCATGAATACTATCCGCTATATACTTGCCCTGCTACGCATTGCAATTTATGCAAGACACCTGTTAATCTAATGACTTTTGCATAAAGCTCAATCAGATACTTAGAAATAAAGGTCTTCTTTTCTAGAGTATAAAATATTACATGGTTTGCCTCAAGGCTATAACTTCTTCCTTCTTTAATTAACTATAGCCGTTTCTCATCATCTGTCAAGTGACGAGTTATCACGTCTCTGGATTTCAAATATCTTGTCGCTTTTGAGCCCTTCTCGTCAAAATCCTGCACTTGAATTTTCTTTCTTTCATACTTAAAGAAGGCCTAAAGACAGTCTCTCAAAATGGTCCGAATCACCAGCATTGCATTACTGGCTTGTACGTACATAATCTTCCTTTCCATCTTTCACTCGTTCACCTACACGTGCTCTCCGACAGGTCTACACGTCGTTGCACTGCCGATTAGAATTCAAACGAGTTTTGCTAATACGGAAACCCCGTCTTTTCTTAGCTGCTGCTAAGGCTTTGGCGGTGTCTGCTAAACTTGAGTTCGATGCCACTCCTGCAGTTGACCGAGAGCATGCCCTCGTTTCGCGTCAAGACTCTCCTCCTTCCGAGCCTCCGGTTGAGGAGCCAAAGCCTGAAGAGGTAAAGACTGCCAACGCAGACCTGGCCGTGCTGTTGCAAAAGATTCTGGACGTCATGGGAAGCGTCAACGAGGACATAAAACAAGGCAAAGTAAAGCTTGAAACCGAGACAAAGCTTACGCCTGAAGAACAAAAGGTTGCCCTTGAAAATATACAGGAGGGGATCATGCAATCCGCCCAAACCTTGGTGGATATAGGTAAACCGTTAATTGAAGGCGAAGGAGAAGGCGAAGGAGAAGGCGAAGGAGAAGGCGAAGGAGAAGGCGAAGGAGAAGGCGAAGTCGAGCCTGCACCTGAAGCCAAGTAAGCGAGCAAGCTGTTTGGTAAAAGAGACGGTAATTATAGTCTCTGGAATATGATAGTTACTTTTCTAACGCTCGGCTCCAATACCGTAATAAGCATGCAGATACATGGCCACCTCGGCGATCTCACTGCCCACTTTTGGTGGTCTGATGGCAGCTCTAAGTTAGTCAGGGCCTCCATCCCGTCCCACCTGGCTAATAAGTAATTAGTCGTTGACGTACCGGGGTCGGAGAGAGGGAGAGACGCAGTTGCTACACAAGTTCTGGTCACTGAACACAGGTGAGCTCCTATGCTGTTCGACGTCGACAGGGTTTCTGCATGGCCCTGATGTGAAGGTGCGCAGGCACCTCGACAATGCTTTGCTCTAGCCGACAGATTGATGACCGCGGTAATTTCCCAGCCATCAACGTATTTGACGTCGAAGCAAAAGGCTTCGACATCAGCAGTCCTGGGGTGTAAGTTTAACGGCAAATACTGTGTCCGCCACTTTTATAGGGAGGATCTACCGAAGAGAGTGGTGTCCGACCCTTATCATCCTGAGCATCAGTATCGACCTTGTCTGTCGCCAGAAGCAGTTTGACGATAGCCTCATGTCCCTTCTCGGTGGCATATGAGAGCGGTGTCCTGACCCTGTCATCCTTGGCATCAGCTAT